CCCCGGCCTTTTTCCCGTCCATCTCCGTATAGCTTCGAGTCTCTTCACTCACAGACTCAGCACAGAGCTCTTCACTCTGGAGATACGGTTCTCACAAGGGTTAAGGACGAACAATGCACAATATGGGGAGACACCACCAAGGTATGAACAACAGGCGCATGTGGTGTAGTGGTTAAGCACTTCGCTGTCGCACGCAGGAGACGCGAATGAGTTCGATTCCCGACTGATTTTTTTAAATGGAGTAGCTCGGTCTTACTTCTTGGGTATTGTATCCCTCTCTGCCCTTATTGGCAGGGTCGGAAGCTTGCCTCCTGGATGATCAAAAATTTGTGGATGGAGGCGTAAAATTACCCACATTAAAAAGTATGGACTGAGCTAATGGTAACAGAATGTTGGTGAACAGCAAACGATCGTAAACGATGGCGGGTCATTCCACGTAAGCCTGTCAACCATGGATGCCACTTCCTGGTTAAGTCAAGGTAACTACATCTCATGGCTAAGCACCAGATACACATCTACTCTTGGTCAAGACAGAATAGGTCAGTTGACAAATCTGCGTAACTTACTACGAAAGTTTGCAACACCCCTGGTCCAAGCGTTTTTTTTTTACGATTGAGTACGCAGTCTTCTCAGATAAGGACGATGTTTATTTTTCTTTTTTTAGATCCCGAGGAGGTATTATGTTAAAGAAGCCACAGCTGTTAAAAGTCAAAGAAAGGAGGTCAGGCCAGGGAAACCTGCCTTCACTTGTAATAAAGATCCACCTCTCCTACATAGAGCTGCGTACACCTGACTGGGATATAAGCACATAAAGATACCTTTGAAATTCTTTTAAAGTGTTGGTGTTTTTATGACCCTGTCGACACATTTTATATCATTTTGGAGACGGGCTTCGACCCTGCCTGTCAGAGACAACCTGAGCTGAAATATATACAATGTCAGACCAGAAAGACCGAGACATTCCTATAAATATTCTCCACATACGGAAATCAACCTCAGGTCTTCTGCTAAGCGCCTAACAACTACACCACAGACGCCAGTATCTCTACATAAATCTGTATAAACGCACTAGAACAAACAAATGAGGACATCTTCGAACCGAAAAAACCCACTCAGTTTCAGTGTTAAATGGGTCATCTACGTCATAAACAAACCATCTGACGCAGGCAAGCCGAGGACCCTACAACCGAAACTTCTCGAGGAACAGACTGCAGAAGTTACCCAGAACTTACCTCAGATTTCTCCCACACTCACTGACGTTGAAAAAAGTGTCGTCCGTGGCTCCCAATCCAGGTATAGAAATATTTCTCAGAAACCAAGCGTGCTATATTAATGTGCACACCCTTCAAAAACTCTCTGCTAAACTGTTGGGGATTCTGAGGTCGTAAGTCCCCACAGAGGGATCTGTCTTATTCAGGTAACAGTAAGTACTATTGGACTTTCTTAGATAAAAGCCTTCGAAATCTCAGGTGGTACTCTATTGTGGCCACATTGAACAGGGGGAGGTTCTTTTAGCACACAATCTCAGTCTGAAAATATTTCTGTTGGCAAGCAATACTCTTTATCCACAGGTTCATGTACGGTAAGTACGATGTTTACCTAATAATAATATAAATTGTTCAGACAGATACAATGCTTTCAAACTTCTCACAGCTGGGGGTATATCTCATAATTTATAACGTCTATCAGAAGCAGCAGTGATTTATGGTGCTTTCAAGTTTCGAGCTGATCAGAGCAGATGTCTGCAGCAATGAAAACGAAGACGTGAACCGATAATCTAATTAATTAGAGGACTGCCCACTTTACTGTCCAGTCGTCTGACTAGCGGTGACCGGCCACTGGTCTGCTAAGTGCGCCTGTAGGTGAGCAGCTAGGTACAACGAGACCTGATCTACAGCTAGCGGTATTCGCCTCACGCCGGCACGACGCGTTTGATCTGGGCGTCACTCACCCCGGAACCAGACAGGCGCGTGCAGAGTTCCGTCCCCTGTGAGCTCCGGAGTCGCGTGCCTGCAGTGCCAGGGACGAGCAAGGGGAGAGAACTGCAGTACCGGTCGACGCGTCTCGTGTTCCGCTCCCCCCCCCCTCCCCTGCCCAACCACCACCCCCTAACCCAAGCCTGCAGCCAGAGCACAGGTTGTTGGAGGAATATTCTGCATGTGTGTTAACCCTTTTGTTGTGTTTGTGGAGTAAAGGGAAACACATTAGACACAATTGTGAGGCTGCGAGGTGGAATCAGGCTCTCTTTTGGGAATGCAGAGTTATTGGTGTCATCTTGAAGCTTGTTTATGGATGAAAAAAATATCCATTTATCTTGAATACAAATCGAGATATTTGTGAAAGAAGGAGGTGGGGTTCACCTATTTTCAGAGGTAAAATTAGTGAGAAAATGGCAGCCAAAGATTTGTTATTTCCTTAGCTAAAGAGTCCATGGTAACTAAAAATGTACATTATTTTGTATCTTTAATCAACGTTTTTCAGAAAAAGCCACGCATAAACGAGTTCATTAATGGGTATGAAAAAAGTTTAGCCAAAAAACACAAATTTGATAAAAATTCACAAACCTGCGGACAAATGCAGGTTTCTTCACTTTGCTTATTTTGACGAGAGCCTGATTCCACCACGCTGCCTCACAATTATAGACACAATATTACGGTCTTTCAGCGCCTGGAAAAAGTAACTGAGACAGACAGAAACAACAAAGAGAAAGTAAAGAAGTAGGGCCTGCTAGCGGCAACCTCCAACCACCCGCGGCAAACCTTTTGAGAATAATGATAATGATAATTCGTCCGTCAGTGTCTGACAATAAACAATGCATCTGCAGAGGAGGATTTTTTATTTTTTGGGGTAAGTGTTTTACCGCGCTCGCAACTGTATACGATCATATGAGCGCGTGGGACACATTTAACTTTTTCAGCTGGTAGGAAATTTTGAATTTTGCCCGGGTGGCTTCCGAAGCCTACTCTTATCGATTTTAGACCTCCAAGGGATCTTTAACGTGCGCAGTTTGCACACAGGCCCTCCGAGATTTTTCGCCCTTGTCCTATGGATTTCTTTTTCAGCGAATGAGAATTATTGAAGGTTAATTAAGATGACTTTTGGTTTCTGCTATAGCCAATGAGATCAATTCTAGCAGAGAAATTAATGTTTGCCGCATCTTGAGGATTCAAAAACTCCACTTTCACTTGTGGATGTGCGCAGCTTGCTGGCTTCTCTCCTCTTGGTTTCAGCATTTCTCATTTATTGTGATGCCTCATATGAATTGCTGCCCACTTTGAAGGCTGCTCTGCAACTTTACTGGGGTCTCAGGAGCTTGGCTCTGCCATGTCGAAGGATTTATGTTGAAGTCCTTCAGAGGCATTTTCAGGGCGTCTTTGTAGCTCGTTTTCTTTTTCGCCAACGTAACGCTTCTCTGAGTGCGTTTTATAATATGAATAGAACGAAAAATGAAGACAGAAAAACGAAAGGAGAGCCTGCCAGAATGTAAAAAAGAAAGAAAGAGAGTAATTGTAACTCCAGTGTCGTATTTATAATACTATTTGCATAATTTATACATCTCAAAACCACGTCTAAAGCTTGTTTTGTGAACCTTAACACAATTTAGTAAATTTTAAAATTTTGAGGGATGTTCTGTTTTTGTTTGTTTGTTTGTTTGTTTGTTTGTTTGTTTGTACGTTTCTTTATTTCTATCCCTTAAAACTTATGATCAACGTTTCGTTTTTTTGTTTGTTTGTTTGTTTATTTTGTTTGTGTGTTTCTTTGTTCTCTATCCCTCGCGTGACAGTTGATGACCATTTCGTTTTTATTTTTTGGTTTATTTGTTTGTTTGTTTGTTTGTTTGTTTTGTTTGTGTATTTCTTTGTTCTCTATCCCTCGCGTGACAGAGAGCACAGTCATTCAATAAAATACTACCTCGAGCACTGAGATGAGCACTGCCGTCAAGCGACGCTTGCTTCGCTAGGGTTACATCTTTGACGTTTTGTTCCAGGAACCACCTACACCGTCACATGATATAGATCTATCTTAATTAAAGATGTCAGGTCTTGAGTTACTGGACTTTTTCTGTTTCTTTTTGTCTCCAAGTGCAAATTTAAAGCTTATATGTTGTGTCTTCATGTCCGTTCCTCAATGGGTTTTTCATCCATGTCTGTCTCTCTGTGGGGGGTTTTCATCCATGTCTGTCTCTCTGTGGGTTTTTTTCATCCATGTCTGTCTCTCTGTGGGGGGTTTTCATCTATGTCTGTCTCTCTGTGGGTTTTTTCATCCATGTCTGTCTCTCTGTGGGTTTTTTCATCCATGTCTGTCTCTCTGTGGGTTTTTTTTCATCCATGTCTATCTCTCTGTGTTTTTTTTCATCCATTTCTGTCTCTCTGTGTTTGATCAAAAATGTGTGTTTCTCAATGTTTTTTCTTGATTTATGTCTGCTCATCTATATCTGTGTCTCAGTATTTCTCCATTCACGTTAGTTTTCAAAAGAGCCTCCAGCATTCCTAGACACATGTGAGGCAGCGTGGTGGAATCAGACTCTCGTCAAAATAATCAAAGTGAAGAAATTTGCATTTTTCTGTAAGTTTGTGAATTGTTATCAATTTTTTGTTGGGTTTTTTTTGGCTCAACACCTTTCTTGCCCATTGAAGAACTCATTTCTGTTTGGATTTTTCTGGAAAAACGTTGATTAAAGGCACAAGAAATTTTCAGTTACCACGGACTCTTAAAATAAGGAAATAACTAATCTTTGGCAGTCTTTTTCTCACTAATTTTACCTCTGAAAACTGAGGACCTTCACCTCCTTCATTTGCAAACATCTCGACTTGTATTCAGATAAATTGATATTTTTTTTCTCCCCCAAATAAAGGCAAGTGAACAAGCTTTAAGATGATACCAATAACTCCACATGCCCAAAAATTGACGAGAGCCTGATTCCACCACGCTGCCTCGTACATAGATCTTGTGCTTTTAAAATTAGATTGCATCCATTTGTCGGAACTCCCTACTGTTTCTGCCTACAGTTACCCACTGTCGTCAGTAAAGCCCCCTGTCACACTTTCAGTAAGTAAGGGGAAAGAGACCG